GTGCCGGGTCAAGATAGCACTGTAACACACAGGCTGGTGGCTGCAGGAGCACACAACCACAGCAGTCAGCACACCGCCACAGCCCAGCGCTGCAGGCCAGCCGCAGCTGGCGGCGCGTGGCAGCGCACGGCAAAAGCTCATGCCAGGTCGAGCTCCTGTATGGCTTGGAGGACATGTGCAGGCAGCTTCGGGCCTCGCATACATGTTGACATCTCGTTAATGAATGCATATTTCTATATGTTTCCAGGTGTTTAGGCGGGCAGACGGGTGAACCCGTTCTGGGGCAGCTGAGGCGGAGCTGAGGGGACGGGCGAGAGCGCTGACAACTCGAAGCCAGGTTTCGATCAGCCCAATTATTTGTTTGAGTAAATAAGTTGCCAATTTACGCCTTTCAGTATCCTTTCCAGTGCCTGCGGCTCATCGTCCCACCGGTCTCAGAGGCCCTAAATCTTGCCGGGCTCGGCTTGCCTCGGGCCCTTGCGCCTCCGGAATAACGATAAATGAAGCCATCAAACACACTGTGCATGCTGCTTGCGCTGCTGCTCGCTGTTGGCGCGGTGCGCGCCATCGTGGTGCAGCTCGAGGTCCTGGTCCTCACGGCCCCAGGTGGGTTGGCAGCAGAGATGGCAGCCGTGCGCGGGCGCTGGCGGTGAAGGCATCAAATGCAGTCAAAGGTTGCATGACCCTTCTGTCGCAAGGGCAGGCCGGGGCGGGGGCTCTCCCTCAGGCAACGGGCAGGAGCTGGCCTGCGAAGGGAGCTGCCAGGGATCCAGGCCGAACACAGCAAGCCGCTTGGCGGCCGGAACGCCACGATGTCAAACACATGGCACACCAACCCATCCTCGTCATTCCCCCAATCGACTTCATGCATATGAGCCATCCGCTTGACAAAGCGCTTGGCCCCCTCCCCTCCCTCAGCCCCGTCCCCTCCCTTAGCCCCCCTCGCCCTACCCCGCCCCCCACAAACACCAACCCCCAGGCTTCTCCGGAATCGGGTTCATGACTGAGGTGATGCGCGGCTACGGCGTCCCCTTCACGGTGGTGCCCGTCAGCCCCAGCGCCTCCCTCGACCTCACCGACCTACTATGGGCCCCCGACGGCTCGGCGCGTTTTGCCGGCCTCGTCATGTAAGCCCCGGACCCAAGGCTGCTCGTCTGCGCGCCAGGGGACGCGATGGCGGCTGGCCTCATATTGCGCCCTGTCGAAGACACCCCACGCCCCACACGCCTGGAATCAGCACGCTGCCCTTGCACATCAAACCTCCCCCTCTATCATCCCCCCCAGGTACCCCAACCTTGAGGCGACCGGCTACCTGACTCAGGCGCAGGTCGAAGTACTTTGGGACTTCCAGCGCCAGACGGGCGCCCGCAGCGTCAAGTTCGGCGCCTGGCCGACGGTGAGCCAATTGGATGACGTCGCTACACCGCCCAGGCAGGGCGCAGGCGCTCAGCTGGGGGGACCAGCTTCCTGCTGAGGGCTTATCGCGTGCGTGCCCGCCTGCAAGGCCAGCCTGATTGTTTGGTTTCAACCTGCGAGGTTCAGGAGCACCCCAGGGTTGTTCGGCGGCACCCCACCAAGCACTGCCTGCGCCAACTCCGGCGTCAATTAAATCGATTATGCAACACCCCGCTTGCGCCGCACACCGCAAGAGGTACACGCCACAACCCCGTCGCCTCTCTATCTGCACCTGCACCTCAGAACGTCGGCCTGGACCCGGACACCCTTTCCTGCGGCTCCAGCGAAGTGCCAATGACATTCACCCCAGACGCGCCGATCGGAGCTTCGGGCGTCAACCCCGCGGCAAACCTGTCAAGCGTGGGCCTTTGGAGGTGGGTGCGTCGCCGCCGGCAGCTCGCGCCAGGTTGCCACCTTTGATTTGGCCCCAGGCCGGCGGCCTGCCGCCTGGTGAACTCGTAATCTCAGCCTGGAGCCGATCCGGCACATTTTTATGCACATCGGAATGTTGAATCACTCTCCGTTGCGTCACTGACCTTTGCAACTCACAGGTGCCCTGGCAAGGCGGCGCCGCTGACCACGTGCTCAATGTGGGCCAGCGATTTTGCCGATGCCGGCCTGCACCCGGCCTGCACCCCAACGCCGATCCTGCAGTTCGCGCCGCAACAGCCGGACGCAGCACCTCAAGTGGCGGGCGCTCTAATCAAGTATCAAGACGGCCGCGAGTCGCTGGCGTTTGTGTTTGACTGCTCCAGCTATAGCACGACCTGCCTGCTGCTGGGCCACATGTCGCTGGGCTGGATGCTGCAGGGGCTCGTGCCCGGGGAACGGCGCGCGCTGCTGACAGTGCAGCTCGGTGAGTTCCGGGGCTTCGAGCGTGCATAGGCCAGTTGGCATGGCTGCTATGCGTACAGGAGCAGGCCTATCAGGGCACAACACCAAGTGTGTGTGTTGTGGCAAAGCGGGCTGTGGGTCTTTGCGCACCAAGCCGCCTATTCTGCCACAGGCGCCCGATTGCTCATGCATATTCTTGTCGCAGGAGCCACCAACCTCAGAACACCAACATCAACCCCTCTCCAACCCGATTCCCAACACACCAGATGACTTTTTGCTGGCCACATACTTTGACAGCCAATCGCCGGCCGGCAACGAGACGTCGTACCGCACTACACTCAGCGACCTGAACGCACACATGACCTGGCAACAGGACCTGAAGACCAGGCTCCCGGATGGCAGCGATTTCAGGTATGTGCGTGCGTTTGTGAGGATGTGTGTGTGGGCGGGTAATGAGTGGGCACGCGTGCACGAACAAGGTGTTGGGAGCTTGGGACCCAAGCAGTTGGTGAAAGCAGCGCTCGCAAATTGGCGCCACTGAGCTTTGTAGAATCACCATACTGTCAGAAATCAGTGTGACGGGCGTGCATGTGGCAAACGACCAGCAGGGCTCGGCAATCGGGCGCTGCGACAGTCAGGCAGGCTTGTGAGCCAAAGGCAGCATTGCGCCACAACGAATGCAACAAGAGAGTTGCATGTGACTGGCAACATGACAAGCGGGTTGAGCATGCACTCACGCGCCGCCCTGCCACTTCCATGAAACAGGCTCGAGCTGCCGTTGAACGGCGGCGGCGTCATCGGCGCTAAGGCAGGGGCGGCCCCCCAGCCTGTGGGGAATGCGCTCAACGTGGATGACCGCAGCTGCATCGACATGCCGGCCTACAAGGACCTCGGCTGCTACTGCTGGAACGTTGGGACCCTGGCATGCCCGGCCGACGCCCCCGAATGGTGCCGCAACTGCACCAAGGTGAGCTGGCACCCGCGATACTTTTATGGGTGTGCGGCACGATATGCACTTGGACAGAAATGTCAGGGCCTCTGATCTGTCACTTTGGGGTCTGCTCCCTGGCCACAGAGTGATTTCCCTCTACCATAATCTCGCAGCAAAGGTGCTCTGGTTCCGGAGCTACCACTATGTGAACAATCAAACATGCCACGAAGCTGCGCCCCTCGGTGCACCCCTACCTCCTCTGTCCAACCCCCA